CCTTCTCCCCACTCTGTCTTAAGATAAATGGAAAAATATCCTCGGGTGAGGATTTTTTTTAAAAAAAGAAAGAAACTCACAAATAAATTATTTGAGATTCTAGAAGAAGGCTATAGTGCTGAGTCTTTTGGTATCAAATTTTAAATTTCCTTTGAACACTTATATAAATTGCCACCAGGTGGTACAAGTGCCTATTGTTTTACCCTGTCTGTGTTAACAGAAGAGGAAGTTTGCATTGAGAAATGTTCCCCTCACCACCCCCATGTAATTGATAATGGTTTGCCGAATTCAAGTTGAATACATGTTTTTAAGAACCCGGGGTTTGGGGTGTTGAGTGTTGGATTCAGACCTTGTGACAGGCCAAGATGTAAGTAATGGACTAGGTTCATGTTGCATACCAGGTGTGTTGTTAAACAATGCCTTTCATACTGTATTATCTAGTTTTATCTTCCACCACTTGGTGAGCCAGGAGGCAGCCTCATTTTTTTTAGGTAAGGACACTGGTACCAGGAGCAATCAAATAACTTGTCCTGGGTCAGTCGCACGGTAAGTGGTAGAGCCCAGATAGCAGCCTGGTCTAATTCTAGAGTAACTCTAAATTTCCTATACCTATACTTTCCCTTTGAGAGCATGTGACTGGCCTGTGGAATTCTTCATTTCAAATGTGAATAGGCCAACTTGGGTGAGGAGTAATAAACTAGCCACCTTGTTTTAGCTAGCAAGTGAAAAATAGTTTAAAAAAGAAAGCATTCACAATAGCCAAGAAGTTCAAGCAACCCACATGACGGGTGAATAGATAAAACAAAATGTATATATAGGGGTGGGCAAAAACAGATTATTCTCCATATGAACTATAAACCTACTTTTGCCCATCCCTGTACATACAATGGAATATTATTCAGCCTTAAAAAGGAATGAATCCCTGGCCAGTTTGGCTCAGTAGTTAGGCATGGGCCTGCTGACTGAAGAGTTGCATGTTTGATTCCTGGTCAAGGGCATGTACCTCGTTGCAGGTTCAGTCCCTGGCCCTGGGTGAGGTGGTGTGGGAGGCAACCAATCAATGTGTCTCTCTTCACATCGATGTTTCTCTCTTTCCCTCCTTCCTTCCAACTCTATCTAAAAATCAATGAGAAAATATCCTCAGGTGAAGATTTAAAAAAAGGAATGAAATTCTGACACATGCTGCAACATGAATGAATCTTGAGGATATTTTGCCAAGTGAAATGACTCAGTTCCAAAATGACAAATACTGTACAATTCCACTTATAGGAGGTACCTAGATACTCAGATTCATAGACACGGAATGGAGGATGGTGGTTGCCATCCTGGGAGGAGAGGGAAATAGAGAATGTAGCAGAGGTTCAGCTTTGCAAGATGAAAATGTTTTTGATGTTGTTTACACAACAATGTGAATATACGTAACACTATTGAACTGTGTACTTAGAAATCATTAAGATGGTAAATATTATGTTATGTGTCTTTTACCATAGTTAAGAAACAAAACAAGCCCTGGCCGGTTTGGCTCAGCGGTTAGAGCGTCGGCCTGCGGTCCAGAGAGACCTGGGTTCGGTTCCTGCTAAAGGCACATACCTCAGTTGCAGTTTGTCCCCGGCCCTGGTTGGTTCGTGCGGGTGGCAACCACTCGATGTGTTCCTTTCATGTCGATGTTTCTCTCTCTCTCTCCCTCCCACTCTATCTGAACAAAAAATGGAAAAATGTCCTCGGGTGAGGATAAAAAAAAAGAAAGAAAACAAGACAGAATGCCAATCTGTTCTCTTCCAGTGAGAAGGTACCTAGCAGACTGCACACCCAGGTTGCCGAGCATGACCAGTGTGCTCTCGCCCGAAGATAAGCCTTGCAGACTCGAGGCAGGGGATAGGAATTGGGTTTAGGGATCCATGTCCACTGCCAGGACGCCCCTGTGCGAGGTCTGGCAGGTCATGTCCGTGGGCCTAGGTACACTTTCTCCTGCTTGGGAGAGGATCCTCCTATGGATCTGGGAAGTCTGAAGTCCTATGAGACAAGTTAAGCTCTGATCATCGACATGGGATTATATATTAAGGAGATTCACTTTGAGACATGCAGATTATCATTTCCAAAGTCTGCACGTAGTACCAGAATTATTTCTCCCACCTTGTGAATCATATAGTACGAATCACTGTATCATCTTGATTCAAATGTAAACTACGTGACATTTTTTAATGATTCAGACTGCCTTCTGATTTATGTGCATAAAAAAATAGGACTACTAGTTTGTAATAGCTGAGAAGATATATTACTTGTACACATAAAAGCCAATTTGTTCACCAAGGTATCAGTTTGTTGTTGATAAGGGGGAATCATGGTTTACATTAAAGGATAGTTAAGAAAGGTGTGTTTATATTAATTTTTTATTTTGTTTTGATTTGTTTGGGTTTTTTTTTGCATTTTGGATTATTTTAAACAGTATGTGCGCAAGTAAAACATTCCCCTAAAATCCTTGCACTTTTTAAACTGGAGAATGTCAAGGATTTTAAAGATCAGTATAATTCTGTACCCAGCTTCAACGATTACTGTCTCATAGCCAGTTTCATCTATGATCCCCACCTACTTCTTACACTTTTTAATAAAAAAAATTGTATAGGCCAAACAACAAGGTTGAACTATTTCAAAATAGGATTATAATTGTTTAATAAAAGCTAGCCTGGCCAGTGTGGCTCACTGGTTAAGTATCAACCTGTGCACCAAGAGGTCACTGGTTCGATTCCCGGTCAGGGCACATGCCCAGGTTGTGGGCCCGATCCCCAGTGGTGGGCATGCAGGAAGCCGCCAATCTATGTTCTCTCTCATCGATGTTTCTATCTCTCTCTCCCTCTCCCTTCCTCTCTCTCTCAAATTAATAAAGAAAAAATATTTTTAAAAGCTTTAATTGTAAAAACATACATGCTCATAGAAAATATAAATATGTGTAAAAGAAAAAAAAGCAAATCTGGTTTTCAGTGACTTCCTAATGCTCTTATCTTAGAATACTGGAAAAATGCTCAACATGGTCCATGTCCAAGGCAAGCCTCCCAGTGGCGGAGGGGCCACAGGGCAGGGCAAAGCACACTGGCTTTGGAGTCAGGCAGACCCAGGGTTAGGGTCCAGTTCAGCCTCGTAAGTAGCTCAGGCTTCTCGCACCACTGTCTTTACCAATGTGAGCCTCATCTGCAAACAGGTGAAAACATCTTGCGCATCATTAGGATGAAAAAGAGTATCCTGTTTGTAAAGCACCTGGTGGAGGGACCACAAATGGTAGCCATTATTCTTAGCTAATTTTCCAGGACCACTTCTACCAAAAAGGGTTCTGTGGACTTCTGGGTAACCAGCCGCACCAGTGGTGTAGCTCTTCGCTGCCCACCGATTTGGTTTTCCAGTTCATCTTCACAGTCACATGTTGCTGTAGACTCTTACCTCCAGCCCTTGGGTCCAGCACAGACAGCAGGATAACCTGTGAAACCTACACCCCTGCAGACAGACACCCCACTTGTGATTCGGAGGGACCTGTCCACAGAAATGATCCACTGAAGTACACCAAGACCTGAAGGAAGAGGTCCTCCCTGCACCCACCTCATCATAGAAACCGGCATGGTTCTCAGAAGCATCTGGGAGCTTATTTAATTTTCTGGGGTCCACATTGAACTGAACTGGAATCCCTGCTGATGTGATGGTTGCATTGTACACTAGTGTGCGTTGTATCTGTGCCCTGCCGGGTACATGTGCTGCCCACGTGAAGACGGTCTCCCACTCTGGCACGTCCCACTTACATAGCTCATCACTTAAAAACCCTTACTGTGCAGTACATACATTTAAAAACCAGGATTGGGTGGGCGAAATGGGTGAAGAGATCAAAAGGTACACATTTCCAGTTATAAAATAATAAATCACAGGGTGTAGTGGACAGCATGGCAACTATAATAAATGATGCTGTGTTGCACATCTGTAAGCAGCCCTGGGAGGGCAGTCTGAAAGTTCTCATCACAAGGAAAACTTATCTACCTATGAGGTACGGTGACGGATGTTAACCGGACTTCCTGTGGTGATCACCAGTATACACAAATATAGAACCATTATGTTGTACACCTGAAACTAATATAATGTCTCTTATACCTCAATAAAATAAAAACCTAAGTAAAACACGATTGTCCTCTAAATAAATTCCATTCTTTAAAAAAATCGTGATGAGCCCTAGCCAGTTTGGCTCAGCGGTTAGAGTGTCAGCCTGTGCACTGAGGGGTCATGGGTTTGGTTCCCGGTCACGGGCACATGCCTGGGTTGCATGTTTGGTCCCCAGTCCTGGTCGGGATCATACAGGAGGCAGCCAATCAATGTGTCTCTCTCACATCAATGTTTCTCTCTCTCTCCCTCCACTCTATCTAAAAATCAACGGAAAAACATTCTAAGGTAAGGATTAACAATAAAAAAAAAATCACAATAAAATATGAAAATGCATCATCCCATTCCTCAATATACTTTTTTCCTATGGACATTGGGTAGTTATACTAAGCAATTTAAAGTTATCTTGGATGAAACACTCTTGATTAAACATTACATACACCTATAGTAGGAGTATTCCATGATTTTACTGAAAAACTGGATTTTATTCATGTTTTGGATTGTCACCTAAAACTGTTGGTATGAAATAGGACAAGACAGGTTGCTGTTCTTTTGTTTTTTTAAGTGACATACATCTGCAAAAGACAGGAACTTTCATAAAGAATCTAGGTATTGGTCAGTATTTGAAGGTTGGTGCAGGGCTCGCTGTCACTGTCCATGATTCTTTGAGCAACAGGTCGCAGCCAGCCCACCTGGCCACCTGAGAGGCTGCGAGTCCCAGCCCAGCCCCTGCACGCAGCAGCTTAAAGCCTTTCCGCAGCACACATCTGCGCCGCAGAATGGCATTTTCCTGCCTCTAGTCCGTCCTTCTCACAGATCCGGAAAAAGGTTTGGTCTCCTGTGCCTCAATGAATAAGGAGAATGCTTTCCTAAGCGGCTCCAATAACTGAGTGTTCCTTACCATCCTCTACAATAATCACCATCTGCTCTCCCAAATTCCTCTGGAAACAGCACTGTAACCATGTCACCCTGACAGTGATGCTGTAGGGAAGAGGGAGGCTCCTCCTTCCATTTCCTGCTCCCTGTGCCCACTCCTGCAACCCGGTGCATGGCCCACGCAGCCTGGCCACCACGGGGGACATCTGTTTCCTGTTCCCTTTCTGCAAGACAGAGACCAACCTCAAAAAAGATCCCCAAAGAGACAGCATGTAGGTTCAGCCCTACAGCTTTCCTCTCCCCGAGATGGGGTTGGGAGGCGCACAGTGGGGCCTCACACTTCAACTTTCAGTCTGAGTTACACAATTTCCAGGCTTCCCTGCAGTGTCCTCCTCCTGAGCCCCGAGCTGTTTACACAGTTACTCTTATCCACAGAGCAGCCTCACGATGGCTTTCCTCTGTCTAGAACATGTAGGATGGCTGTGGTCCAAGTTTGTGCTACCAAGACCCTTCACCACAGGGGGCTGATATAGGCTATCTGATGATCAAGAGTGCAGGGTTGCCTTTGTGATCTGTTAACACCCCCCAGTCCAATAAACAGTCTCCTGGTGAATAACGGCCCTTCCTTTTCCTTCCCCACAGGTCCGTCAGCCGGTGGTGCTGGTAAACATGGCAGAGACACCCACACCCCTTCCAGAAACCCCAGGGCTCACTTTGGGAAATACTTTCATAACTAGTGTCTTTTGAGAAACTGCTACTTATTTCTTAAACTAATCTGATTTTATCCAAAGGTAATAGCATCCTGCATTAAGGGGAGGTCCACTCCAAAATGGTCCCACTTAACTTTAAACCCATCTTTCCTCCCTCTTTTCCCCTCACTAATCAGGCAAATATTTCCTTTAAATGACCCAGGTGCCCAAAGCATAATTACATCTCAAGCGTAGTTTTAGAAATTATTTATTTCACTTACAAATTTCACTTTAAATGCAAAATAGCTGATAAAAAGAAAGAAAGAAAAAAACATTGAACAACACATTATACTGACCCTTTGCCCCATATACAGACATCAGCATTTGGTATTTGCTTATAGGTAATTAGGTAAAAAAATAAAAACAAACTTAAAGCTATTATTTCTCTCCAAAAGAAAAAGTTGAGGTATTTATTTAACAGATGTGTGCTCTCCACCTAAAAATGGTTTCTCTCTGAATTAACACTCTTGCTGTATGCTGTCCCAAGCCTTTCCTTTAAAGCAGACCTTCGTTTGAGCCTACATTCATAAAACTGACAATGTTCCTTAATAATTATTAAGGTGGCAAAATAATATTGAATGTCAACCATAATGGAAAAAAATAAAATAAAAATTAGCAAATTAAAAAAAATCAGTAAGGATGCCATAGAAATGCACCGGGCCACACAGAGGCTATGATGCTGGAAGGACCTTTAGGGGGCGCTCAGGAGTGCCCGGCGCAGAACCCGAGCCAGCTGGCCTCCCAGCCACAGCCCCACCGCCCACATGGGAAAGCCGAGTCCCGTGCTCGTGGTCTGAAGACCAACAGTTGCCCCTGCTTCTCCAGATTAAGATAAATTTCTCACCAGCTCCACCTGGAGCTGGATGCCAGACTCCTCCCCAGCTGAGTCAACCTTAGAGGAGGCACTATAGCTCAGCACCAAAGCAGCAGGGCAAGACATTCCTGAACATTCTACAGGAAACCCACAAACCATGACCACTCTTCCATGCTCCACTGGGCTCTGCTCACCACCAGGTGAGCTCCCAGCCCCGTCCCAGCAGCAGATTCCACGTCTTGGAATGGTGCTTTCTCCCCACAACCCCTCTCCCCAGGAGAGCAGGAAATGAAGAGGACAGAGTGACCCAGTGCCTGGCAGAAACCACAGGGGGGCTCAGGCTCCATCGGAGCAAAGGGCTCTCTTGAGTTACCAGTGGCTTCGTAGACACAGCCACTGCTACCCCCTTGACATTTGAAAACATAGTTTATTAATGCTACAAGAATTAATGACCACTTTAGTTTAGACCTTTAACCAGCATATTTTTTTAACTTCTCCAACCCAGCAGGATAGGTTGTCATGTTAAATATAAACTGTCACCATCCCAACATTTCACATCTGGCTCTGTGGCAGACTGATACACGTATGAGGTGAGTACATCATTGTTGAGGATAAAAGGCAGCATGAGCTGCAGAAACACAGGTAAGAATGACCTGTGGGTAGAAACACAGGTAAGAATGACCTGTGGGTTGAAACACAGGGTCACTGACCATAGATTCAAGGACAGAGAAAGCTTAGGGTGTATACCTGTGTACAACGAGCAAAGCCCACTACCCAGAGAAGACAAATATTTTCCTTCATTTACACTAGCTTATAAAAATGTAAAGGGGAAAAAAAACCCTCTTCAATACAAAAAAAAAAAAAAAAGCAGTTCCGTTACAATAATAATGAAAGCAATAACAATTTGGAGATCAAAGCTGCCTAGCTGTCAGGGATCATGAGCTATCTGGATTTCACATCTTCCACTAGCACGTCTCCTCCGGGCGCTGGTAATACCACATGTGGTTAAAACCTCATAAAGAGTTAAGAACCGTGGGCAGAATCACCCTTTCTCATGCAGAGTCTCATTTTTTATATTTCCCTGTCACAGCATTTTTGCTGTTCTCAAAGAAACTATAGAAGAAGAAGAAGAAGAAAAAAAAAAAAAAAATACCACCACCTGCCTGGCTTCTGTCAACTTAAGAGAGTTGCCTAAAGCAGCAACAGGGCCTGAAACTTGACAAAGCCAGCAATGAAAATCACTACTTGCCCAAGATAGTAACAGTGTGAACCCAGCAAAGAGTAAGTAAAACACGGTCATCTTCATTCACCCTTTGCCACCTGTCTGGTGCTAGTGGTTGTTTTTCTAAAAGGTAGACTACTAGAAAAGCTTGTGGTCTGGTAAATTTCTAGACCATGGTTACACAACTGATTTTAATCACAGCTTCATTTTGGGACACCCCATGATAACTTGAGAGTACTTGTCTGGCTAACCACTCTCATCACTGAATTTTCAAAGCCCAGACAGAAAAGTGAGCTGAAGTGGGTTCATCTCCAAGTCACAGCTAGAGGGTTATCTGGAGCTTCAATACTAGCTGAACTGAATCAAATTCAAGGAACTAAATAAAAAGAGGAAGGCACTAAGGGGATTTTTTTTCTGAATCTCCCTCCCTCTGATAACCGGGCTTCATGGCTATCAGGGGTGGCATTTTCACCTGACCCTGCTTGGTAGTCTTGGGAGGCCAGCTTCCCAGCATCACCACCAAAAGCAGGACACTGTCCTTCACAGCCGCTAGGGGGAGCAGTAACAAGCTGTTTTTTCCCCTAAATTAGAGAAGCAGGCTTTTTTTTTTTTTTTCACTTTTTAAGACAAAAACAAAATTTAGAATGAAACCAGAGTGTCTTCTCTAATCGGGGAAAATAATGTTTTCTCCTCCTCCTTTTTCACTTGACTCAGTTTTGTGCCAAACAAAATGATTGTGCTTCTCCCCCAAGTTCTTTATATACTGAACCTCAGCTAATACGGGCTCTTCCCCCCTCTCAAGAAAAAAGTCAGCAGTTCTTTAAAAAACAAATTAAAATACATTCTTGCCGTCTTTTCTTCTGTCTTTTCACATAAATGTTGTCTTCCCTCCTTATTCAGGCTCAGGTGAAAACAAAGTAAACAAGGCTGGAGTCAAACATTTCGATCTCACCAATGACAGGAGCCCTCCCCCATGCCAGTTCTCCTTTTGGGGGGGCGGGGGACAGGAGGAAGGAGAAGATGGGTTTCCAGAGGCTCCGTGTCACTCGGCTCCGTTATTATGAGTAGAGAGCCTGTCCCCACATTCCTACTTCTTCTGCTTCTCTCCTCCCGAGTCCTGGGATCCAGAGAGGGAAACTAAGTCCCAGCAGGTGCTTCTGGATTCAGCAGGTGCCTAGGGTTAAGCTTTCACATTTAGCAAAATGCTAATGAGGAACTAATTGCAACTCCGCTTCAAAGCACCTGGTCCTGAGACAGCATCTACCTTCGCCGTCAGTCAGCTGTCTTCCCAGCGTGGGGAGAAAGGCAGTGGACAGCCTCCCCAGCCTGGGAGACTGAGGACAAGCCTTCCTCACGCCTAGGAAAATTGAATTTTGAAGGCACTTGGGTTTCAAGAGCTTGAGCTAGAAGATGAAACGGTGCAGTGGGCCAGGAGACAGGCGGCGGGGCGGGCTCTTTGGCTGGAAATCCACCCCACGTCCTGAGGGTGCAGCTTGCGGAGCTGTGTCAGGTGTGCAAGCAGCCGGCAGCTTGTCCACACGAAGTCCAGGGTCCGAGGCCTCTGCAGCACCCGGCTTTGCCCACCTGAGTGTCCAGTGGACTCTTGACACCGCTCTCTGCCCAGGGCCGTTAAGCAAGGCTTCAGGGAAGAGTGGTTCAAAAACGCGCCCACCTCCTCCTTCTGAGCAGGCGCAGCAAACCCGTGTGCACCCAGACTGGCCTCCTGAGAGGCCCCTCTGTAACAGTGAAGCCCGAGGCCCCACGTACCTGAGATGAGCTGAGATGATGGCCAGAAGCCAGCTGTGCTTTGTCATCCACACAGGGCGGCAGGTCTGCCACTCCAGCCTGCCAGGACCACCAGCCAGCTACTGGGGGAAGAAGTAGTCTCTGTTGCTGATGTCATAAGGGCTCTGTGGTCCTCCGGCATCTGGTCGGCTGTGCCTCGAGGTATTGTCCGATCCAAAGCTGCTGGGGGACGCTGGTGGGGAGATGAGGGGAACAAGCACGGGGGTGGGCTTGGGCCTCTCAGGGACAAGCTGTCCCAAAGAATAGGGTGGGTGCATGCTCGCCTTGCCTTCTTTCAGAGCCTGCAGCTTCCACGTTTTCTTTAACCTTCACAGACACACAAAGACAAACCACACAGATGCTTAGTTCCCTCTGTGATGCACCAGAGTGAAAAACACCCACAGCTGACCACGCTGAGGGCCTGGCAGTCCCGCCTTTCAGCTCAAAAGAGTAATAACTATTTATTCCATCACCTGTTGTTTTTGTTTTGTTTGTTTGTCCTCACCCAAGGACATTTTTGCATTTATCTTCAGATAGAGCAGGAGGGAGAGAGGGAGGTAGAGAGAGAGAAACATCGATGTGAGAGAGACACATCGACTGGCTGCCACCCACACTACCCTGGCTGGGGCCGGGGATGGGGACAAACTGCAACTGAGGTACGTGCCCTTAGCAGGAACCAAACCCGGGACTCTCCAGTCCGCGGGTTGACGCTCTAACCGCTGAGCCAAACCTGCCAGGGCCCATCGCCTGTTTTTTATCACCAGGAATTACACAATAATCTGAGAAGTTGGGAGTGTAAAAAACATCCCAAGAGAATACATATGTATTGTTTACAAATTTACAAATGGAGAGCCTGAGGCACACATGGCCGTGAGTGTCCCGTTATAGCACTGAGAACTTTGTTCTCTTACAGAGGCTGGCCATAGGTACACATCATCAGCCCCAAATCCATTTACTTAAATGAGACATAGTATGGCTGGTGTGGCTCTGTGGATTGAACGTCGTCCCAAGCACCAAGAGGTCGCTGGTTCGATTTCTAGTCAGGGCACATGCCTGGGTTGCAGACTCAATTCCCAGTAGCAGGCATGCGGGAGGCAGCCAATCGATGTTTCTCTCTCTCTCCCTCTCCCTTCCTCTCTCTCTAAAAGCAATAAAAACATTTTTGAGAGGGAAGGATGGAGGGGGAGAGAAAGAGGGAGAGGGATAGAGCCCTGGCCTGTTTTGCTCAGTGGTTAGAGCATTAGCCCTCAGACCAAAGGGTCTCAGGATCAATTCCTGGTCAAGGGCACATACCTGAGTTACAGGTTTGATCCCTAGCCCAGGTCAGGGCCATGCAGGGGGCAACCAATCAATCTGTCTCTCTCACATCAATGTTTTTCTCTCTCACTCTATCTTCCTTCCACACTATCTAAAAATCAATGGAAAAAAATATCCTCCGATGAAGGTTAATAAAGACAGAGTATTCTTTCAGTGGGGAAGGAAAATGGGCCTCTCGGGAAATTAAGGCTGGCAGGAGGCAAATCATTTGCAACTGCCATTTAACAGCAGGAAAAGGGCCACACTGCTCCCTGAACAGCCTTCTGTTCCTCCTGCTTCCGACATCCCCATCCTCCTCAATTGTCCCTACGCCTCTCGGTCCACGCCCACCACTCTGGTGAGTTCTCAGAGCCTCAGCCGTGGGCACCACTTGGGCACAAGTGACTCATCTGACAGGAAAGTGGATGTTAAACAGGAAGGAGAGATAGACATCTCTCTGATCACAGCTTCGTTCACCCTGCACTGCTCTGGGCCCAGGGCCATGGCTCAGTAACTGAGAAAAGTCACCTGACAGCCCAAGAAAGATGAAGTGGTGATAGCAATCTTCAAAGGCGCAGCCAGGTCTCCTTCCTGCAGGGGCTCTTTGACTGTGAGACTGTGCAGGGCAACTCTCCTCCCTCCTGCTCCCACGGTGTCAGCTACTGACATACTGCTGACCAGCCCAGTGGGAGCGAGGGGGTCTCCCTTAGTCCCACCATGTCAGCCACTCCGGGAAGGGCTGGGAGGCAGGAGGGGAAATCAAATCAAAAACAAGGCTTGGGGATTTTCCTTAGGTTTCTTTTATATCGACAGGCTATTCCTGTCCTTCTTACGATCAATAATTGATAGTTGGCTCCAAATCTTCTACTGGCACTTAGCGTGTCACCCAAAGGGGATAAACAACCTATAGAATATTGCCGAGGACTTCACCAGGCAGGCGGGAGACAGGAAGGGCGCACAGCTAGATCTCACTGGAGCTATGCTGGGTCCTTGGCTGGAATTATCTGCCTGCCTGAGAAGACGGAAGACAAAGTCATTACACTCTGGATTCCAAAATATTCAGTCGCTCTGGCCCAGGAATTCCATTTCTGGGAATATGCCCTAAGGAAAAAACCTAGCTGTGAAAAAAACTTTATGCACAAAGATGTTTAACACTGTTTTTGTTTTGTTTTTCAATCCTCACCCGAGGACATTTTTGCATTTATCTTCGGATAGAGCGGGAGGGAGAAAAGGAGGAAGAGAGAGAGAGAGAAACATGGATGTGAGAGAGACACATTGAGTGGCTGCCACCCACATGACCCCAAGGCCAGGGACAAACTGCAACCAAGGTGCATGCCCTTAGCAGGGACGGAACCTGGGACTCTCCGGTCCCCGGGCCGACGCTCTGATTGCTGAGCAAAACCGGCCAGGGCAACACTGCTTTTAATAGAAGCAAAACAACAACCCAAATGCCCAATAATAGGCTGGTTCAGTGAACTTGCGGACATTTGCCTAATGAAAGAATCCTCAGCTAAAGAAAGCGAGGCTTACAAAGAATTTGTGATAATGTGGAAAATGCTTATGTTATAATTAATACTAAAAAGGCAGGAACCAGAGTTATAGATACACAATGATCATGGCTACATAAAAGCAAACAAGAAACTATGCAGAGGAAAGAGACTCAGGAAATTCATTAACTATAAAGTGTTCTTGATCTGGGTACTGACTGCATGGGTGTGTTCACCTTGTGAAAATTCATGTACACTTACAACGCGTAAACTTTTCTGTATGTTTCTTAGACTTCAATCACATTTATATTTTAAAAATTAATAGTGGCAAATGGATAAACACATTGTATTTCTATATGAGTATGTTTCCAATAAAAAGGAAGGAACTAAAAAAAATTAACAGTGGTTGTCTTTGCATAATGTAGATTTTTCTTCTTTCGGGTTGTGTGTTAACATTTAGCAAATTGCCAGTATTTAGCAAATAATTATTTATCACAATTTTTCAAAGTCTCTATTGATAGTCCTGGCCGGTTTGGCTCAGCGGTTGGAGCATCGACCTGCGGACCGGAGAGTCCCGGGTTTGATTCCCGCTAAGGGCACGTGACTCGGTTGCAGTTTGTCCCTGGCCCCGATTGGGGTTGTGTGGGAGGCAACCACTCAATGTGTCTCTCTCACATCGATGTTTCTCTCTCTTCTCCCCTCTCTTCCTCCTGCTCTATCTGAAGCTAAATGCAAAAAAAAAATGTCCTCAGGTGAGGATAAAAATTGATGTTATTTAACCAAAATGGAAAGCAATATCTATATTCAGCTTTTTTTAAAGCAACGGCATAGGTAACTGAGAAAAATAGGCTTTCCTTCTTTTGAAATATTTTGAGAAGTAAGTGAAACACTTTCTAAAAATCACTAAGCTCAAGGAAGCTCTGAGGGCGTGGGGCAGACAGACAAGGGCTGTACTGTCAGACCTCACGCATCGCAGCCTCTCCTTTTATCTAGTTTACATATTTGGGCTTCAGAATATTTGTTTAAAGAAAAGGTTGTAGCCTGGCCAGTGTGGCTCAGTGTCTGAGGACCGTCTCATGGACTGAGAGGTCCCAGTTCAATTCCTTGTCAGGGTACATGCCCAGGTTGCAGGCTCGATCCCCAGTAGGGGGAATGCAGGAAGCAGCCGATCAATGTTTCTCTCTCTCCCTTCCTCTCTCTCAAAAATCAATAAAAACATATATTTTTTAAGTTGTTTAAATAGCCCTGGCCAGTTTGGCTCAGCGGTTAGAGTGTCAGCCTGCGGTCCGGAGAGACCTGGGTTCAGTTCCCGCTAAGGGCACGTACCTCGGTTGCAGTTTGTCCCCAGTCCTGGTTGGTCGTGCGGGTGGCAGCCACTCGATGTGTCCCTTTCACGTCAATGTCTGTCTGTCTCTCTCTCTCTCTCTCCCTCCCTCCCTCCCTCCCTCCCGCTCTGTCTGAACCAAAAATGGAAAAATGTCCTCGGGTGAGGATATAAAAAAAAAGTTGTTTAAATAAAGAAAAGGTTATATAGCTGAAAAAAAGTTGTTTTTGTTTTGTTTTCTTTTTATTGGTTTTAAAGAGAGAGGAAGGGAGAGGGAGAGAGAGAAACATTGATGAGAGAGAACATCGATTGGTGGCCTCCTGCATGTCCCCCACTGGGGATTTGGCCCACAACCTGGGCATGTGCCCTGACTGGGAATCGAACTGGTGACCTCTTGGTGCATGGGTCGATGCTCAACCACTGAGCCACACTGCCTGGGCTGAAAGAAAGTTTTGAAAACATTCATCATAACTCTCACTTTTTAGAAAATAAGATATAAAACCTAGGTAGAGGAAGTGACCCCACCCCAAGGCCACAGGGTCACCCACTGCACCCGGCCCCTTCCATGGCCCAGGGTGCCACGAGGGTTCCTCTGGCCCCACCATGAAGGTGGGAGAGTCTGCAATTTTTAAATATTGAAATGAGACAACATTCAATACCAAAGCCTCTAAATCACAGGCATGTACACATAGGAAGTCCTCACCTAATAGTGTCAGTCCATTCTAATAAATGCACAGAAAATAATTCTCTGCTCTGAGAATCCTATTTTCCCAGTTCAGCATAATATGAAGAGAGAAAAGTGGTGGGACCAGGGGAGTGGGGTGGGAGAACCAGCTCCTGGAAGTCATAACATCCACTTAAGGAGATGGCCCACCTTTCTGAACGGCACACTTACACTTTCATAAATTATCACTGATATTAGTGGAAAATACTACACTTTACTTGAAACACCAAATAATGTATTAAAAAGAAAAGTATGGTATCATGGACTGTGAGGATGGACTTTAACCGCCTCTCACATTCTGCCTATTGTAACATGGCCATCCAAACAGTCACTGTGGTTCAACCATTTTGGAACCTCGGACTCTTGACATAGGGACTTCAGGAATAGAGGGGATTTTTATCACTTAAAATAAATTTGCCTTATGGCCCTAGCTGGTATGGCTCAGTGGGTTGGGTGTCATATGGTACACCAAAAGGTTGCCTGTTCAATTCCCAGTCAGGGCACATGCCCAGGTTGCAAGTTCAATCCCCAGTAGGGGGTGTGATTAACCGCCCACCAGGAAGGTGTTACTTGTAAATGGTGCCATTGGCCCATGGTGGGCTGATAGGACCAACCGCGTCCACCTCTTAGCTGACAGCAGGCTAGCGTGATTGGCTGAGACTCTCAGGACGTGGGTTCTAGTCCTGGCTCTGCTAATAACAAACTGTGTCCTTAGGCAAGTCACCTTACCTCTTGCGGCTGTTTCCTCATTTGTAAAATTAAAGAATTTGACTAAATGACTTCAAATGCCCTATCCAAAGAGCATGAATTTTGGATTTCAATCTTGGCCTTACCATTACTAGCTGTAATCACTCCACCTCTTTCAGCTTTAGCCTCTTCATCTGTCAAGTGAAAATCATGATATTTACTCTACGGGGTCTGTGGCAGGTTATGAAAAAGGCCTGTTGAAGCCCTAATAAGGTAAAAATATAAATAGAATACAAAAGTGTGTGCCTGGGGCAAGGAATCCCTTAGAAGGCAGCAGCAGAAGATCCCTGAATGCTGGCATTGCCCCTCTCTGGCCCCAAGGCATAAAAGACAGTGTGCCCTGGCCAGTTTGGCTCAATGGTTAGGGGGTCAGCCCATGGACCAAAGGGTCGTGGGTTTGATTCCCAATCAAGGGCACATACCTGAGTTGCAGGTTCGATCCCCGGCCTCGGTCAAGATCATTTGGGAGGCAACCAATCAATGTGTCTCTCTCATATCGATGTTTCTCTCTCTCCCTTTCCCCCTCCTTCCCTTCCATTCTATCTAAAAATCAATGGAAAAATATCTTCAGGTGAGGATTAACAAAAAAATAATAATATAACTTAAAAAAAAAAAAAGACAGTGAATTCTCAGCTTCTCCAAGGAGCTACCTCCACTCATCAGGAACTTTATCTTCTGCACACCCTTTGGACAATTTGCTCACCACTTCATTGTGAATCAAAGTGAAAACACTGAGTTGTCATCTTGTTCATCTTTTAGCTCAGACCACCTTGTGGTCAAGCAATTTCAGGATCACTGTGAGGACCCAATGAGCTAACATGTGGAAATCTCTCTGCCAAGGCTTTACCCTTTCTTCCCTTTAAACACCTTCCAACACCACCTCCCAAAATCACCAACTAAAGTCTTCTGAAAGTTACACACGAGGTAAGAGAAAGGAAGGACACAGAAGTTTCTCCTCCATTCCACTATCATTATAATTAACCACCACCCAAAGTCAGGGCACAGCCTGACTTCTTGTAGGGCTTAAGCATGTGCAAAAGAGCAACTTGCTGCAGTAAAATCATGCACATTGGAAGTTTTCTTCATTGCCCGTTCATTGGGAGCACTGTTAGTTGATTTCTGCAAGCTTGAAAGTGAATGACAAAACCACACAGAGGGAGATTGGGATGAAATGGGTATGGTGCCATAGCGGCCAGGGTGCCAGCTCAGCCTGTTTCCTAACCATGGCCAGAGCATTCAAAGGTGACCCTCCAGCCCGGCCGGTTTTGGCTTAGTGTCGGCCCGCGGTCCCGAGAGACCCAGGTTCGGTTCCCGCTAAGGGCACGTACCTCGGTTGCAGTTTGTCCCTGGCCCTGGTTGAGTCGTGCGGGTGGCAGGCACTCGATGTGTCCCTTTCATGTCGATGTTTCTCTCTCTCTCTCTCTCCCTCCCACTCTATCTGAACAAAAAAATGGGAAAATGTCCTCGAGTGAGAATAAAAAAAAAAGGTGACCCTCTAGGTTTGCTTGTTTTGAGACATGGAATATTCCCAAGGAGGTCTGAGCAGGCACCTGAGATTTATTTACCTGTGTATATACTGGTGTTTCTCACATGGTACTTTAATTATTTTCGTATGTGGCTTTTGGAAAAGAAAGGTCATATTCATCTTGCTATCCCAGAACCTAGGTTTTTCTTCAGTGCCTAACACTCTCCTGCTGGTTTCCACAACCAGGTGTTCCTGGCGCTTCTCCTACTAGCCCCTCCTCAGCCCCTCCCAGCCCCTCCTCAGCCCCTCCTCCCAGCCCCTCCTCCGCCCCTCCTAGCCCCTCCTCAGCCCCTCCTCCACCCCTCCCAGCCCCTCCTCAGCCCCTCCCAGCTCCTCCTCCCAGCCCCTCCTCCTCTCCATAGCCGTCAATGTCAGACCCCTGGAATTCCACAGGGTACTGTCACTGGCCTTGTTCCATCCTCTGCCATGGCTCCAACTACCATCTGCAAGCAGCAATGACCAGAACTGTCTTCCAAATATGTCCACCTGGGATTTCCACAGGCACCTCAAACTCAGTGGTCCCAAACTAGAATCATCATTTTTCACTCAAATGTCCTTCCTCCAGTATTTCCTAATGTAGTGCATGACCCCACCATCTGCCCAATCGCCAAAGCCAGACACTTGAGGGTCAGACTGGACTCCTCCCTCTCCTTCCTTCTCCTCATCTAAGGTCACCTAACCTTGTCAGTCCGACCTCTGAAATACATCTTGAATTATTCGGGGCTCTCCAATTCATTGCCACCATGCCAGCACGGGCAGCGCTAGCTAGATAAGAAATATGAGAACACCCGAGGGCCACCCCAGGACCCATCTCACCTCAGGACAATGCAAATGCAGAGGAGCGATGCGAAGGCCAGGCTTCCTCCAGCCACCAGGAAGGTGTACAGAGGTACTGGAGAAACTTGATCTAGAGGGGAAAAAAGAAGAGGAACAGACGGAAGAGAAAAAAATAAACCACTCAGTGGGTGCTATCAAAAGTCTCAAAGGAACCTCACCCTGGAGGAGGAACCAGCTCTGCTAACCAGCAGGCCACCTGCCAACTTTCTGGCCAAAGCCAGTCTAGAAGAATCACTCCCAGCAGAGTGTGACAGACCAGGATTCTGCCACTTGGCAGAACATGATAGAGATACACCCCAAACTCAGAGCTTCCGAGCACTGTGGCCAGCCACAGACTCCCACTCCCTTTCAGAGTGGCTTTTCTAGTGGTATGCAGCCTGCCCCCATAGGCACAGGTGGGGGCAAGAAACAGAAAGTTTTGGGGACCTCAATGATGACAGCTCCATTGAGGATGATGCCAGGAAGACTTAGGTGCTTTAAATCAAGTATTTGGGTGCAGTGTTCTCCATGGGGCATCGTCTCTTGCCTGTCTCCCCACTTGGTACTCAAGCCCCAGCCATAGGGTCTTGATTCGCTCTTCCACATGCCAAGTTCTCTCCCATCCCAGGGCTCTCTGCATGTTCTCACATCTCTCCCAGAAAGCTCTTCCCCCCTCCGCTGCACCCCTTTTCTGTCCAGTCCCTACTTGGCCTTTGAGACCCAGATGAGATGAGGACATGTCCTCTGAGCCATGACCCCACTCCAAGCTGGGTAAGTGCCCCCCCTGGTTACTTCTCCAGCTCCACCTTCCGTCTGAGCCCCCTGAAAGTGGGGACCACGTGTCCTTTTCACTGTTCCTCCCAGCTGCTCACACGGTGCCTGGCACAGAGCACGCTTACCAGAATATTTCTTTAAATGAATGAAAGAACAAGCTTCACAGGCAACCATGTTCTGCCAGAGAGAGACCTGGTCTGGACAACAGTACCTCTGAGGAAAACCATCCTTCTCTCCCACTGAGCATCCAGACACTGGCAGCTGTGTGGACTCAGAATTAGGGCTTTTCTGCCCCAAATGGCACCCACTGCTGAAGAAAATGTTGCCTGCCAGTCATCACTTCAAGTGCCCACTGGATGCAAGCTTTTCTATGAGTGGTAGTGGGCACTGACTATAAAGACAGGTCTCTCCAAGTATGTCCTGCATCTCTGGGCAGAGACATGTTTAATGGAAGCAGTACGCTTGGCTTACTCACTTACTAGTCAGCTCATCACCTTTTGCATTTGTTCCTGCCTTCGTTCAACAAATACAGGATGTGGCAAAAGGAGGTTTGCAGTTCAAGTATGCACAACACAGAATTTATTCTTGTATTATTATTAATGGTGGTATTATTTGCATTACAACTGTAAACCTACTGTTTTTTGAGTGCCTATCATGTGCCGGGCTTTGTTCTAGGCCGCAGGGAGACACAGAAAGGGATGACAGAAAAGCTCCTGCCTTCCCAGATCTCACCTGCTAATCAAGGGAAACAGACAAACAAATAAGTATGTAATATGGGCAATGATGAAAAATAAAGCACAGAAAGGGGAGAGAGTGTCAGTGGGGTTGCGGGGGGGGGGGGGGCGCTCGGTCAGACGAGTGGTCAGAAAAGGCCTCCCTGAGAAGGCAGGCTTTGAACAGACACCTGGATGTATAAAGGAGCTGTCCAAGTGGAGGTCGGGGAAAGAGTATCCAGGCAGAGTAAGTAGCAGATGCAAACATCCTGAGGTAGATCGTGTATGGAAGAGCAAGGAGGGTGGAGTAAGTGAGAGGAAGAATGGAAGAGGCAAGGTCTAAAGATGAGGCCTGACCCCATAGAGACTTGGGCCTTCGATAAGACTTTGGCTTTTACTCTAGGGGAGGTGCTATGAGCCAGGGAGAGCTTGGGTTTTTGTTGTAAGAGTTGTTCTGGTTGCTGGTTGGAAGAGTCTGTTGCAGACCAACAGGCAGCTCCTAAGGTCCTGCAGGATGAAGGACAGCAGGGGCTGGACCAGGTGCTGGCAGTGGAGATAGTGAGAAGTGGTCAGCCTCTGGACATCTCTCATGGGTCAACTGACAGGACTTGCTGGGAGACTGGACATGGGATAAGGGGTAGAAGAGGCCTGATCCCCAGAGCCCAAGCAACCCAAAGAATGTAGTGCCCATTACTGAGATGAGGAGGTTGGAGAAGAAAAGATTTGGGTTGGAGAAGTAGAGAGGCATCGAGCATTTCGGACATGAGTGTGCAGTTTCTAGTAGGTATCCAAGTAGACATGTCAGCTAGGCAATGGACACGTGAACCTGAGTCGTGGTGGAAAGGTAAGGGATGGAGATATAAATTTGGGAGTCATCAGCTCATAGATAGTCTTTAGAGACATGGGGCTAAATGAGATCACTGGTAAGAGTAGATAGAGGGTCCCTTCTCCACAGTAACCCTTGAACTGCTGCCCCAACCTCCTGCCATCCCACCTATATTATTCAAGGTTCCTTAAAAATGGCACCTCCTCCTTCAACTTTCTGTGATTCCCCCAATGGCACATGTTCTCTCGAGTCTCTAAATTCCACTTACTTTACCTATGCTTCCCTTCTGCCCGGCATCACACTCTGCTCTGTTACAGTTACTACTTGACTTCGTCAGAGCCTGGCCAGTGGACCGCAGACTCCTGGAGAGCAGGGGTGAGTTCCGTTCCCTCTGTGTCCCAAGCCAGGCTGAGCTTAGCCCCAGGTCCGCCCTAGATGCACCGCATGGGGTAGGGCTTTGCAACCAAGATGACACAGCTCAGGCAGCCAGCATCAGGTGCGGGCAGGACAGTGAAGCCAAGGGCTTCTTCAGAAAGCCTGACGGCCATCAGATGGACTTGTTCAACTACTGAATCTTCAGAGTCCAGACTCCAAGAGTCCCATACAAATAGTAAAACAAACATAGTGCCTGTGACCTATACAAATATAATAAGCCTTTTTTTTTTTTTTTTTTTTTTTTTAGAGGGAGAGAGAGAGAAATATCTGAAACCTAGGTATGTGCCCTGACTGGGAATCAAACCCAAGCCCGTCCAGTGCACTGGACACGCTCCAGCTAACTGAGCCACACCAGCCACACTATGCCAATGTTGTAAGTTCCTGGTCTTATGGGTGTAGGAAAACAAGAAACACTGAAATCAAGGGCTCTCCAAAGATTTCCCTCCCCATGTGTTCCATTTCAGACTCGTCATTTTGTTTGTAACACATTCATTTGTATTCCGGGCCAATTGTGAAATAGTTCGCTGATTTGTCTCATTCTTCTTGTAGTCCCCTCATAATATCTTAGCTAACAATATCTAACTTGGACAGATAAGGTAATAAAAGAATATTTCTGCCATTGGTCCTTTTCATTAAGCAGGTTGATCCCCTGTCAACATTTCCAAATAAGAAAGGATTTTCTGTAGAGATAAGCCTTTTTTGCCCCTTAGACCATAAGAATACAAAAGTATCCAGTGCTTACCTGGGAAGCTTGTTGTATTTGCAGAATAATCGGGGAGAGTATATTCATTGTCTTCATTAGTAGTATGTGCCTAAAAAAGACATTCCTCACTAAGCCTGTTTCTGCAAATTCCGTCATCATTCAGGACCCAGATCAAGCACCACATCCTCAACCCCCTGCCTGCCCCCCACCAAGCCATTCCTTTCTCTATCTCATGAACCTCTCCAATTCTGCATTATTTGCATCCACACCATGCCTGTTCAAAGTGAGGATTTCTTCCCATCTGTCTCTCCACCAAGAGCTCAAGTTGCCCTTTGGGTCTGGTGCCAGGGCATAGGTACTACCACTTACTAGGAAAATCACAGGCTGGAATCCTGGATCCACCACTTACTAGCTATGTGACCTTGGGCAGATTTCTTAACGCCATGTGGGCGTCAGTTGTCCTTCCTGAATCTCAGTTAATGTAAGGATCAAATGAGATAGCAAATGCAAAGCTCTGAGCCTGGTGCCTTGGCAGGTTCTGAGTGTCAGTTCCCCTACACCTTGTGTTGGGAGCTCTCTGGCCCCAAGGGCCTGGACTTCACCCTGGAGTTGTTTCTGCTGGTCCTGGACAGTCCAGCATTGATGATGGGTAAGGTGCAGGACCCCGGGCTCCTCCTCTGTGCTGCCGGGCTCCAGAGGCACTGAGCCTCCCAGCTTTGCATGTAGGAATTGAGGACCATGGAAGAGAGACAGCTGGGTGGGAAATTGGATTACTCAGGATTTATTTAAGCAGCTCCAGAGGTAATCCTCTTTCCAAATCATTATGACACCAGGAGTCCACAGGGAAGAGCTCGGAGGAACTGAATCAGAGTCTCTGCTAAGCCATTAGGGGTGTCCAAAAGCAGCACCCACTAGACAGAGCAGTTTTGCGAGCCAAGGCCCACACTTCTCCACGCTCCACAGGGCCACAAAAGCCCCAGGAAGAGAGAACCCCTATTATGTCATCTTACAGAGGCTTCAAAACAACACAGAACTTGCCCATGGCCACATTGCTAGTAAGTGGAAGAGCTGGGATTTAAACCAAATTCTGTCTGGTGCCAGACACAATGCTAACCAATAGGCGCTCTTGCCCTGACCCTTTTACAGAACATGAGCTCACCTGCACGGAGGGGGACACCTCCCCCTTGGTCTCAGTTGAAACACTCATGGATTCTGTGGATAGAAGAAGTATCATTACTAATGATTCATGGACCCTGAAGTCCTCTGTCTCATGGGCTGCAGAAGCAGAATCAGGTTCATCACAATGTTATTTAAGAGCATAATGTTGGGCCCTGGCCGGTTTGGCTCAGCGGTTAGAGCATTGGCCTGTGGTCCGGAGAGACCCGGGTTTGGTTCCCACTAAGGGTATGTATCTTGGTTGCAGTTTGTCCCCGGCCCTGGTTGGTCGTGCGGGTGGCAGCTACTCGATGTGTCCCTTTCACGTCGATGTTTCTCTCTCTCTCTCTTCCTCTCCCTCCCACTCTATCTGTACAAAAAATGGAAAAGTGTCCTCGGGTGAGGATAAAATAAATAAATAAATAAAAATAACCAAATATCTAACCATAGCTACCTAAATTATGATATCGCCATATATTGCAATAGTTTCTTTTTTTTAATTGATCTTAGATAGAGGAAGGGAGGGAGAAAGAGAGAGAGAGAGAGAGAAACATTGATGTGAGAGAGAAACATCAATCAGTTGCCTCCCACATGTGCCCTGACTGGGGATTGAACCCCTCAACCTGAGTATGTGCCCTGACTGAGAATGGAGCCCATCACCTTCTGGTGCAGGGGACGACACTCCAACCAACTGAGCCACTCCAGCCAGGGCTACTACAATAGCTTCTTAAACTATTTTAGAAAAATATTGAGGACATGCTATAATGTCATATGAAAAATGCAAGGCAAGAAAAAAATCATATAGTTTGATCCAAAATTCCTAAAGAAACATATTTATATCATTATTCATTGTATATCACATTATATACCATAATATATATTCACACACAGGAAGTAAAAAATTGAAAGGATACACATCATCACGTGTAAACACTATTAACACTTTAATTATGATGACGATAACACTACTGTTAAGAAATTAAATCCTAAGAGTTCTTATCACAAGGGGAAATGTTTTCCTATTTTCTTTTCTCCTTTCTTTTTGTTGTATCTGCATAGGAAGAAGGATGTTAGCTAAACCTATTTCACAAAGTGTGTAAGTCAAACCATTATGCTGTATTCCTTAAACATATATAGTGATGGATGTTCATTATTTCGCAGTTAAACTGGAAAAAATAAATAAAAAATAAGTCTGACCAGTGTGGCTCCGTGGTTGACCATCGACCCATGCACCAAGAGGTTGCTGGTTCGATTCCTGGTCAGGACACATGCCCAGGTTGTGGGCCAAATCCCCAGTGGGGGCATGCAGGAGGCAGCCAATCGGTGTTCTTTCTCATTGATGTTTCTATCTCTCTCTCCCTCTCCCTTTCTCTCTCTAAACTCAATAAAGAAAAAAAAAGTTTAATTTCCTTTTATGCACCTTTTGCAATAGAAAATATTTAACATAAACAACAAGTTCTCATCTGCCTAGGTGGATTTAGTACACTTAGCTCAAGAAGGGACAGGGACCCAGGCACCTCACAAGCTCCCTCCCCCTCCCTGGGAACAGTGTTTCTGCAGAAACCTCCAAGGCAGCACAAGGCCAGGAATCAAAGCAAGAGTGTGACCTGAGGCCAGACTCAGCAGCAAACATGGGCCCAAGGGACCAGGAACTGGCAGTGGGTAGGATGTTCTGAAATTTAAAGTATTTTCTTTCTTTCTTTTTTTTTGAATCCTCACTCGAGGGTATTTTTCCCATTGATTTTTAGAGAGTGGAGGAGGGGGAGAGGAGAGAGGAAAACATCGGTGTGAGAGTGACACATGGATTGGTTGCCTCCCGAACAAGCACCGACCAGGGTCGGGGATCAACCTGCAACCCAGGTGCGTGCCCTTGACTGGGAATCAAACCCGAGACCCTTCAGTCTGCAGGGTGACACTCTAACCACTGAGCCACATCGGCCAGAGTTTAAAGTATTTTCTTTTTGGTTTATCATTTCTGTCAAGAAGTTTAAAATACCACAGAAATGGTTTACACAAAGATGTCAAGCCTCCCTGCACCAGGAGTAAAATAACTAGCAAGGGGGTGGAGGAGAGGGTGACCCTGCTTTCTGCTTGGGAGAGAATTTCCAGCAGTCATGTGACCACACGTTACATGACAGGAAACAAACGGAGGCCCAGGGAGGAACAGCAACTGGTCCAAGGCCACACAAGTGAGCCCCAAATCAACCGAGAATAAATGGGAGGGACCTTATTCTTATTCCTTTGTGTCTCCTCCGGCTGAGCCCAGCAGAACATAGTTAGACTCAGAGCAGAGAGTGACTGAAGAATGAATGGAGGGTATGGGGGTGCCAGAATGAAAGCTAAACCCAGGAGATGGGGCAGCGCTACATAGAAAGTATGGCTGACCATGGATGCTCATTCAGTCCACTGGTTCCCAAACCCAGCCATGCTCAGCATCATCTGTAGCCTTTTAGGCTCTACCCTTGACCTATGGCCTCAGGATCTTGGGGATGGGATTCAAATATCAGTATTTTTTAAATGCTCCCCAAACCCAGAGAGATGTTTTAGGAAGAAAGGGAGACTTGTATAGTTTCTGCCCTCAGCTCTGACCCACCCGCAACATGGTCCAGAGAAGGATGTTTTACCTTTGGTGACTCGGTTTTTCAGGGGTAAAGTGGGAATTTTATTTTGGTATTATTTCAAATAACCCAGGAATGTTACCAGAACAAATACAAGTTTTCTAATGCAGAATAAAATTAAGTCTTACATAACAAGACTTTAAAAAATCTCCCTAGATGACCACGGGGAACCCTAATTCAGATCATTCTGTCCCCTGAGATGGAAAGTGGAACAACTTTTACATCATTATCAGTAATGATTTTCATTTTCCAGATGGAGAAACTGGGGCTCAATGGAAATAAGATTAATAACGCTAATAGCATACCAATTCATATATTACCAGTATTTCTAACACCAACATTTTGAGGCTTACTATACACCAGATCCAAATGGTTTGTCTGCCTGTATTGTCATCTCATTCACCCTCACAGCATCATACAAGGCAGGCACTGTTACCCCAGTTTTACGGACACCGAGACTCACAAAGGCTGTGGGAAGGTATTAACATTGAGAGGTACATTCTTTTTCTGTTTAGGCAGAAGTATTTTATATTTCTCCTCGTGTATTTTATATTTCCTAATGCCTCACTTCACTAGCATGTTGTGTGAGGGGAAGGAACTGCCATTCACTGTCCCCTGTGTGCTACTTTTATATTTATAATAAAATGAATGACCACACTCTAATAAATGAGATTAGTAGAAGACCAGATGTGAGTTGAGGGGAGTTTTCATACAAGATTCTAAAACAAGAAACTTATCTCCATTAATTTGCTCATTGGTTTGGGTTTGCTTGCTTGAGTTTTGTAATACGGAAATCCTTTGCAGAAGATGGCACAGGCCTTCTTCATACCAGATGTCTAACCTTGGTCAAGGCATGTAGCCTCTTTTTAGACCGTGTTTCTTCATTTCTAAGCAAGGGGGTGACTTCCTCTTACACAGATTACCCGAGATCACACACTAAAAAGACCTAACACTGGCCTGGTACACAATAATGTTTACAAACTGAGCCAACTTGCCCTGGCCTGTTTGGCTCAGCAGTTAGAGCGCCAGCCTGCAGACCAAGGGTCACGGATTCAATTCACAGTCAGAGGTACCGTGCCTGGGTTGCAAGTTTGATCCCCAACCCCAGTAGGGATCATGCGGGAGGCAACCATCAATGTGTCTCTCCCACATCAATGTTTCTCTCTCTCTTCCCCTCCCTCCCTTCTACTCTATCTAAAAATAATAATACTAATAAATGTTTAAATAATGACATCAATATTCTTTTTAAAAAATGGACCCATCTTTCCAAATTAGGAACGAAGAACACAGTAACTTCTGGGATGTAATGTACAGCATGGTGACTATAGTTAATAATACTGTATTTATATTTGAGAGTTGCTAAGAAAAAAAATTTGTAACCACTTGTGGTGATGGATTAAGTTGAGTAAATTTATTGTGCTGATCATTTCACAATATATACATATATCAAATCATCATGTTGTACACCCCAAACTACTACAATATTATAGGTCAATTATATTTCAATAACACTAGTGGGGAAAGAACAGAGAACATAAAACATTTTTAAAAAATTTTTTTTCTTTATTGATTTTTGGGGTTTTGGGGGTTTTTTGTTTTTTTTTTTTATCTTCACCCAAGGACATTTTTCCATTTTTTGTTCAGATAGAGTGGGAGGGGGAGAGAGAGAGAGAGAGAGAGAAACATCAATGTGAAAGAGATACATCGAGTGGCTGCCACCTACATGACGCAACCAAGGCTGGGGACAAATTGCAACCAAGGTACGTGCCCTTAGTGGGAACCAAACCCAGGTCTCTCTGGACCACAGGCCGATACTCTAACTGCTGAGCCAGGCCGATCTATGGCAGGCCAAACATGTTTAAATAGTATATTATAAAAACTAAAAATATGGGAGGAAAAAAAATGGTGGCAGATTGAATGGCAGCTACACAGACCGTCTCCCAGAACCAAATTGGAATTACAATTAAAATAAAGACAAATTATCAGGAAAATGTGATACACCACATAAACAAAGTAAAAGATATAAACCATATGATCATATCAACAGATGCTGAAAAAGCATTCAACAAAATCCAGCACCCATTTCTGATTTAAAAAAAACAACACTTAGCAATGTGGGAATAGAGGGATCATATTTTGACATAATGAAGGCCATATATGAAAGACCTACAGCCAACATCATACTCAATGGGCAAAAACTAAAAGCATTTCCCTTAAGAACAGGAACAAGTCAGGGATGCCCACTTTTGCCACTCTTATTTAACATAGTACTGGAAGTCTTAGCCACAGCAATTAGACAAGAAGGAAAAATAAAAGGGATACAAATTGTAAAGGGGGAAGTGAAACTGTCATTATTTGCAGATGACATGATATTGTACATAGAAAACTCTGAAGACTCCATCAAAAATCACTAGATTTAATTAACGAATTTGGCAAAGT